CATGACCTTGGTCTTGGAAGGAATACCATCCTCGGGAGGACCGCGCTGCTTCTGGGGACGAGGAGCACGGGGCTTACCGGCCTGCTTGGACTCGGCAGCAGCAGCGGTCTCGTTCTGGTTGGTGACCTCAGTCAGAGGAGCAGCCTGACCGGGAACGTTGGTGGGCTCGGCAGCCTCCTGACCGTTCTGAACTGGGGCCTGCTACATGGGATATTAGCATTCAATTGGATGGGAAATAATTGACGAGTCACTTACAGAGCGACCAGCACGGGGCAGACGGCCTCCACGACCACGACCGCGACCGCGGCCACGGCCACGGCCACCAGCCCTCTTGCGGCCCTCGTTACCGCTGGCACCCTCACCGCCACTTGTAGCACCCTCGGCCTTGGCCTCGGCGGGCTCGGGCTTGCGGGCAAGCTGCACCGAGACCTTGCGCTGGAGGATTTCCTTTCCAGACAGCTCCTCAATAGCAGCGGTGGCCTCCTGGGCAGTGGCGAGGTCCACGAAGGCGTAGCCAACGGGACGGTTGGTGCGAGGGTTCACGGGGATGGAGACGCTCTCACTGTGAAAGAGCCATTGTTAGATTCGGTGTTACTTCCCGCATAAGAATGTAAATAATCAAGGGGGTTTCAGAGATGGAGCTCTGAAGAATTGGCGTGCCTGCAGTAGTAGTCACATACCACTGCTGCGCGGTATTACCGTCGGATGGCAGCAAGGGGTGTAGGAAACGTGGCTCTCGCCGGCCCCCCGAATCGCTTGGACCAGCCCAACGGAGCTTAGACCAACCGGGAGGTGAAAGGCCAGGTGGAACAATAACAAAGCAAAGTAACTCGAAAGACTTACATCTTGTAGTTCTTGAAAAACTCCTTCAGCTCCCCCTCAGTGGTCGCATAAGCGAGGTTCCCAATGTACAACCGACGTCCTTCATCGGCACTGGCAGCGGCAGCGTCCGTAGACTGCGCAGGGGCGGGAGCAGTGCCGTTGGTAGTAGCCTCGGGGGCGGTAGTGGCGGGAGCAGAGGCGACGTTGTCGGTAGTGTTCTCGACGGCAGTAGACATCTTGATGGCTGAGGACGCAACGGAGTTGAGCGTGGAGAGAATTGAACGGTGGTTTGAGTTGCGCGCGGGGAAGTCTTGACCGGGTTTGTGTGCGGTTAAGACAAGGACTCAGGAGTAGCTAAAGGCTGCCTGTACTTGAAATTCCTTTGAAGCAAGTGGGAATGGGAATAGCTTGAAGAGGGGGGGAGATAGGAGGAAAAGGGTAGCTTGGTGCCCTAGATACGAGAGTTGACTTGGGGGAAATCTGGTATTGAAACTGATGAAGATTTACCTTGAGAGGAAGGATGAAGTCGACGGGGGGGGGAAAGGAGAAGGTGAGAGAAAAAGGGCAGGCAGCGAGGGCGGTGGCGGGCCTATGCCGAAGGGGGCAGGTTGCTGCCTGAAGATGCCTGGATCAGCCCAGATCTGCCTGAAGATGCCTTGGAGCTGGCCAGCCGTACCAGTTCCGTACGACGCTAGACTGCATTGGGGTGCCCGACGTGGACTTTCCGTCCGGCGGTCTGGGCGGCCCTCAGGCACCTTCCCTGGAGCAGTTTAGACGCGATGGAGCAGCTGGAGCCCTTTGCAGGGGATCTGACATCACCGGTTGTTGACTCACTCCTTCATGAACCTTCTTCGATTAACACTAGTGGTTGTTGGGGAGAAACATCGTTGCTTCCTGAACAACTTCCCTCCCACGTGAAATTCTACTACACTCCCAAAAAAATAAAACAAAAATAATGGCAATGATTTGCAGGGAATACACCTCCTCAAATTTACAACACAATGGTATCATTACTGACTAACTAACTGACCTGCAGTCGCCAGTTCATCCTTAGCATTAGTCAGGCTGCCCGCGAGCCCCATCCCCACTTGCCAACCAACTTGTATCTGGCCAGATCGCCCTCTCCCGTCATCGCCACTCCATCCATTTCCACCCGGCAGTTCCCCCTTCGTCCCAATCAGTTGCTCCCCTGTTTGTTGATGATGGTCGTAGTAGTACCGGCAATATTTCACCCAATTGAGGCTTCAATTCCTTGAGTGTCATCACCCATTTTCTTTTTCTTGTAGCTCAAACATGGGGTCTGTGAAAGCTCGATCAATCAACTGCAGAATTGTAGTCTGTCACTCCTGTATGCATCCTGCAAACCCGATTTTCCCCCCTGCAGCCGAGACATCAAGCACATGACGCACCCCGTCAATCACCCTTCAACCAATCTATTTCCGTTCCACGAAATCGCCCGATTCCCGCCCAATCCCAAACAATCTCCATGATGTTCTTACCTGCAACTGCCCGGGAAGTTCCATAATTGGCCTCGAAGTATTAGCGACCTGTGTTTTGGTGAGTAGGGGATATATATTTTTGCGCGCAATGCGAACATACATCAACACTGAGTATCCTATCTTTGATGGTTATTTGTTTTGACTTATCATATCACCATACTAATTAAATATTTTTTTGGCATTAATTTCTTTCCTTGTCAGCATGTTTGGAGCAATTTGTTTGGTACTGCCTGCCAACATGCAACCTTTAGTTTCAATCTCCCCTCTTTACCCCTCCCACTGTTCGGATCCTTTCAACAAATCCGGTAGTAATATTTCATCTCTATATCATTCATGACATTCCAGTTACACTGCAGTCTTATACTTCCTTGCACGGGTAAGAACCAAACCATTCAATACCTCGATTCCTTGATGATTACCACATCGCTGGGAATTACAGCAGCTGGTAGCAAAAGAAGCATATCATAGGAATAAACTCAAGGATCTTCTTTTCCGATAACCTTTCACCTAGTTACTTGTACTCCGTTGTTAGGTTAGCGTTCAAGATAGTGTGCTTATCGGCAGCTCGTCCGCATATTTGCTTCTGCCGTTGTTTCATTCGTTGGCCTCGAAAGTAATTTCTTTTTGTCCTTCACGAGAGGGTGGGTCTACCTGGATATATTAATAGAACATCTATACATCTACTACTGCCCAATCTTCCGAACTTGGGCATTATAGTACCCATATAACGAGAGCATCTTCGATGAAAGCCGAGGAAGCATGTCCGCATACTTCTGCTCATTAAAATATATATTCTTCGAGTCGTCAATTGTTCTCAGCGAGTTACTGTAGAAGTTGGCAAAAAGTCCTGTGAGCGGTCAGGTCGTAGACAAATTCAACGCTGGACAATAACAGAGGATTGTTAGTGGATGCCTCTAGGAAAGACAGTATTGTCAGTACCCTGCAGAGGCAGAGAAGATCAATGAACTGCGACAGATTATTGCTGATATAGAGTAGCGGGTCGAACACTTGTTGATTAGGTGACATGGTTAGGTAGCTGTGCGACAGCTTGGAGTCTGGTTGTGGGGATATCTTCGGCCATCGATGCTGTGTGTTGTCCACTAGAACGTCTTCATATGCACTATAAATGCGATGCTGATCTTGCAACGGACTATTTGTAGAAACCTGCCTAGGATTATACAAAGTAGATCCAATGAACGGAGACAGTTCTTTTGGAATAGACCATGTCATAATCTCCGATAGGAACACACAGGAGATCCGCGTCGGGAACGAGAAAGCGAGCGTAAATGTTCAACTGTAAGTGTACTGATCAGGTCACTATCCAAGCCAACCTTGGTTAGCTCTCATGGGGGGATTGTGTGCTGCGTGCCTTACCACGTGCTCAAGAAAAGTCACAGGCCGGCCGCATGGCACTCTGAAAGATATTCGAGCAAGTAACTCCTCAATATACACACTTTTATTATTCCGTTCCAGCAAGGCAACTTTGAGGACACACCAAAGTTTCTGCATTGCTATCAGATCGATTGATCGTGGGATTTTATTCCCTGCACCAAGCGAAATTGTCAGCTCAAAGCTGTGCGCATTGATTGGCCTATAGCGATAACTACCCAAGTCTAGAGGTTCCATTATGTGCGCCTTCTTGGAGAATTAAGCGGCCGCGTCATGCGTTGACAACCACATAGTACACTGCAAAACATGTGTGGGATGCTGTTCAATGCATAATCTCTGACCAAGATGGAAGAATCGCTGATGAAGAATGTTATAGCCTCCAAGTGCACCACTCGGCTCTTTCGAGAATATATGAAGCCCTTCTTCGGTCCCCGGATACACTGTTGGGTGGGTTCACAGATCGAACCTGGATCCTGACATCCACCACACCATAATTGCTGGCCGAGAATGTTCGTTTCAGACGCTGTAGTGATTTTCAAAACTTGATGCGTACAGGAAGAATCACGGCCTGGTAAGCTGAAGCCCTCATAGGATACTCAGAAATATCTACGTTCGTCATAGGGCGGCGAGCTCATTATGTATTCGCAGAACTGCAGTCAGAACTATAGGACTTACCTAAATCTCCGTCGGAATGAGAGTTGCCACTCGAACATTAGTGGATGAGAACGGAACTGGACCCCGCATCGGCACTAGAGTGGAAACTAAATGCTGACCCTTGCATATGCGCTGAACCAGAAAGAGGTTTAGCATGCTTTTGAAATATGTCTCAGTTCCATAATCTCCATCATGATCTTAAGCTGGGTGGTTCACTCTCCTAACAAAATATGGACATATTCTCGGTTCTGTCGGAGTTAACGGATATTGGGGGAGTTAAGCTGTCATCAACTTGATACTCCCCACTGCTAGCGTGTAAGCTGCCCGCATAGGCGATCTGTGGTACCATAGTATGAGACTACACTGGAGGCGAGAAGTTACAACTTTACACATCAGTGTAAACTCGAATCCCAAGCTGCGAATCAATTACTACAATGGGTACTCGGGAAAAAGAAAGGGTCCATTCCGAGCCCGTGCCGGACTGTCCAGGATCCACCCGGAAGCAGAGCCATGGGCGATGTCATGACCCTACAGCTGTTTCTATAAGAACTGCTTTCCCTACTTGCGAAGCATGCTCAAATTCTCAAGACTTACACACAGTTCAAGGAAGCTACACTATCGAGATTCCTCGTCAACATGGTCAAAACACTTCCCTTCCAAGACATTCAGGTTCCGTCGCCTGGCTTCGGTGCCATGGGTCTCAGCTTCGGCTTGGGCTACAACCTCAGTCTTGAAGAAGCAGAGCCGGTTCTTTTGAAGGCTATCGAGCTTGGCTGCACTTTCTGGGATACAGCTGTGAGTTTAGCCCATGAACTCTTTGAGTAAGATGTGAAGCTCTAACCCATGGACTCAGGTTATTTACCAAGCGGGCGTGAACGAGAAACTTTTGGGAGATTTCATTCGCAAGCACAATGTGCGCGACAAGATCTTCAGTATGTAAATGCGTAACCCAACAATACAATCTGGTACTGACCGATGCAGTTGCCTCGAAGTGCGGATTTAGAGTGGAAGACTTTACCGTCACCAACTCTGCCTCCCATATCAAGGAATACATTGAAGGAACTATTGAACGACTAGGCTTCACACCTGACCTATACTACCTCCACCGTATCGATCCTAGTACGTGATATTCACTCATGTCTTTTATCAGACTGGCTGACCCCAGACAGACACCCCTCTCGAGGAGTCCATCCCAGCTCTGGATGAGATCCGCAAGGCAGGCAAGACCAAATACATCGGACTTTCGGAATGCTCTGCTGCAACTCTGCGCAAAGCCAACTCCAGTTCGTTTAACCGTCTGACTTCTATCACTGTTCAATATCTAACCTTTCCCAGTTGCCAAGATCGACGCCGTCCAAGCCGAATACTCAGCCTTTGAGACCCTGCACGAGACGGACGGTCTGATCGACACCGTCAAGGAACTGGGTGTGGCTTATGTGGCCTACAGTCCTCTGGGACACGGCTGGCTTGTGGACGACTTTCCCTTCAGGACGCCCGAAGACTTTGCGCCTGACGATTTCCGTCGCGGTTGTAAGTTGCCTTGCCCATTCAGGATTACTTCTTAGTTATGCCTACTAAACGCGGATAGCCCCCAAGTTCCAAGGTGAAAATTTCTACGCCAACAAGAAGATCGTGGATGAGATCAAGAAAATCGCAAGCAAGAGAGGCTGTTCGATCAGCCAAGTGGCCCTGGCGTGGGTTGCTGCTCAAGGCATGATTGCCATTCCCGGCACAACCAAGGCGCACCGATTGGAGCAAAACTGGGCTTCTCGGGAGATCGACCTGACCGATGAGGAGAAAGCAGAGATGCGCAAGATCATTGATGCCGCCAAGCCGCAGGGAAATAGATATAATGAGCGACACCAGGCTATGGTTGGGCACTAAGCGGAGCCGGGTCTTTTGGGTGAGGATGTATATATTTTTTGTCGAGCCAGATTAAACTTCTGTTGATTTTTGAGGATTGCAGGCTATTGCAGGAGTAGAGAATTGAATGAGTATACAATTTGTATATAGCACCGATACTCATGCAACAATGCCAGATTATGAAATCCTTTGTGATTCAGTAGTGGAGGATTACGAGAGGGCCCAAAGAGTTGACGATTGGTGATCCAGCAATGGGAGACGCACGGTTGTTGCCCAAGGCAGTCCGCGGGGGGCTAGACCGCAGTTGGACTGGACGGTGCCAAGTTGGTGAACTGACTAATTTATTATCTTTGTGCTTCAGAGGATTGCAGCTCACAGAATTAAAATTCAGGTTAATGTATACACCGATGCATAAACCAAGTTGTGAAAGAACAGCGCACAGCTGCAAGTTTCATCCACTGGAGGAACAAGAAAGACCCCCGACAAGCCTTGGAGGATCGACGAATCCACTTGGAAACTAACTACTAGTCAGTTAACTAAGGAAGGTGGTGATGCTGACTGGCTTAGTCACGACGTAACCACGGCAGCTTCCTTTCCTGGCAGCAAATCCCATCCTCCAATAGATAAATTAGCCTTTGCGGCCCCTTTCGTTTTCACTTTCCATCCTTCGCCTCTTGAATATTTTTGCCTTTCCTTTCCTTTCCCTCCCTCCGAGAAAACCTCATCGTCCATGTGAGATTCTTCGTGCACGCCGTCTTCAATGGACCCCATCGAGCCCGTCAACGGCTCGCCCGATCCCCACGAAGGCCAGCCACCGTCGGCCACGCCTTCCCCCGGACCGACGTCATACCCCCGACAACGTGCGGCCTCGCTGCGTTCTCGCCGCCCGTCCATTCGCCTCCAACGCCTGCCCTCGTTTGAGCAAGCCGTTTTATCCACCCCCCGATCACAGCAATCGCAGCAAAATGGCGATACCAGCAGAACTCCTGGAGTCGCTCTGTCCCCTCTTCCTTCTATCCCAGCAGCTTCCGCAGAAGACGAGTCATGGCAGGGCAACCGCCGTCGCAGCAACTCGGAGCCCCGACCTGGGCGATGGTCTACACCCAACCCGGCTGCTCTGGCACGGGTGACCACGGGCGGCCAGATGCGCCCGGTGCAAGAGGAGGCGTCGAGCCCCATCGTTTCCTCCGCATCAAACCAACGAATGCCGGAAGATGTCCCTCCGCTACCAGAGATACCGAGACGGGGGAGTCGAACCCCCATGCGATGGGCTAGTGGAGTTGGTGTGAACCGCTTCACGCGGAATCGCGCGTCGACGGTTGGTGGAAGTGCTCCGGCTCAAAACCATGAGGTGGACGACGAATATCGGTCTCATATTGTGGATGTTCTGGATGTCATCGGTAAGCTATCCATCACACCAAATGGTTTCGTGGTATAGTAGCCTAATGTATCTCAGATCCGGAAATATCGGCCTTATCTACCCTCACGAATGTTCAGAATTCCTTGTTCATTCCTAACCTAGGGCCTCTGTTGAATCGCAACCAGACTTATACGCTCTCACCGCCATCGCCTATGAGAGAACTGGAATCGACGAGTGACGAGGAACGAGCGGATGAGATAAAGGAGCCTGAAGTTCGTCCATCCGTGGAACATACCCTTACGTCCGTTATCGGCGAGGGGGAGGAGCCTCGGTTTGCTGTGCTGCCTGAGGGCAGCAACCTTGCGGGCTGGAGCCCGGAAGAAATCGAAGAGCTTAATGACCATGTCCGGCACATGTTGCATTCTCGACGATCAAAGTTTAAGCGTTCGATGAAGGGGTTTAGAAAATATGTATCAAAGCGTGAGCGACGACATTTCCAACTCTCGGTATATGCTGCTGACCTCCTTTCCGCAGCTCTTGGATTCCTGGTTACTCTATATGCCACACTCATCACACTTTTTGGTCTTGCCTGGGTACTCTTCCTCATTGGTACGTGACTGCAATTCACCCAGCGAATCATCGAGCAGAACACTAACCCATTATCAGGCTGGATCAACGTCGGAGGCAGGCAATCCTACATTATTAATGTCATCGATAACGTCCTCGTAGCCCTCTTCGCAATTATGGGTGACGGGCTGGCCCCGTTTCGAGCTATCGACACCTACCACATGATCTTCGTAGCTCGATACACGTCCTTGACATGGAAGATTCGGCGCAAACGACACCTCCCCGATCTCAAGAACAAGAACGACCTTCCGTCACGACGAGAAACAGACGTCGACGTCGAACTCGGCGACACCCCGAAGGATGAAGAATACGAATTCACCGTCCTCGATCCCGTGAGACAACTAAAGCTCATCCACCACCAAAATAAGCTCTCCAAATCCCACACCTTCTACAAACCCCACGAAACCTTCACCCACTACGCCTTTCCCATGCGCCTCCTCATCGCTATCGTCGTCCTTCTTGACTGCCACTCCCTATTCCAAATCGCCCTAGGCACCTGCACCTGGGCCATCAGCTACCACGTGCGCCCCTTCGCCCTAACTACCGTCATCCTCTGCTGCTCTATCTGCTGCAACATCACCGGCGGTGTCCTGATCATGATCGGCGACCGCATGACTCGCAAGAAAGATGTCGTCGAGCGCCTCTTCCGTCAGCAACTAACCGAAGAAGCAATGAAGAAGATCCGAAAGAAGAAGCGGAAAGAAGAAGAGAGACGCAACGCCGAGAATAGCGGCGTGTCACGTTCCCATTCTATCTCTTCTCAGCGAAAGCTGTCACTTTCACAGCCGAGAGAAGACGAGTATGAATCATAAGATGATGCTTTTCAGTTCAAAAGCACGCGCACATCCACTTTAATTTGCTTACACGTTTCACGACCTCTACGATGACCCCATATATGTTACTTATTATTCATGATATCCCCAGCATCCTTATTTCTCTTGCCCTTTTATTTCTGTTTATATATCTGCTTCCACCGAACAAAAACACGATGTTCGGTTTGAAATCGTCATAGATGATTTGATGGATGCCGTTTTGTATTACTATCATTCTATGTATATGCAGCTATACAGACGTTATTTTCTATAATCAACAATGTGAGAGCCGTTCAAACATGATCTATTTAGTGTAACAAAACTAGAATATCATATGGGAAGGAAAGAAAGAAATATATAAGAATATATACATTATTAATAAAAGTAATTGGATTAAATAAATTAAATAAAGTAGACAACATCATGTTCTCAAAGAAGAGAATTAAGATTTCTGGGCCTCGAGATGATGCTGTCAGGATATACTCTGAATGGCACGAACTCCAAGTGACTGACGAGAAGCAGAAGGCCGATTGGCGTATGGCATGTGAGATAACCCTATCTATCCAATGGCCTTGACTTCGAGTTGGTGGAAGAAGATTAAGAGCATGTGCAGTTCCTGATTGAACAAGGCGTGACAAAAGGGACTGCCCGGCGATTTGTCCGCGACAACATCCCTGAATGGGTCGAACATGTGAGAGAGCTATCACCGGAGGGCTGCAGTCAAGGTCCCCTCCGATTTCATTGATGACTGAACATTTCTTGATTGCCAAGCGTGATTATTTCCGTCTTATCTGATGAATGGCGAGCATTTGCATCGTCGCTGCGCTGGCCGTACGATATGGCTTAGTTGTTGTTTGGTTTGATAGCTGTTTATGCCCTAATACTCAGATTTCGCAAGGTTGTTTCCACCTTTTCTTTATTTTGAAATATCAGTGATATACTACTACTTACTATGAAACGGCGTCTAGTAGTACTAGTAATGCGATGCACAATCCAAACCGTCAGTTCAAGAAGGGTCGTCATGCAAATGGACACGCAGATATTATAGGAAAGGATAGAAAGTTCAGCCATGGATGTATGGGCAGGATACACTATGAAAAAAATGACTCCGCGGGGCCTCTGTACTAGATCAGTCTCCAGTGCGAGAGGAACTGGTGCGTGTCTACTACCCATTCAGCTATTGTTGACCGATGCAGGTAGTAGTAGGTCTCTCGCTAAAGGTAATAACATAGCACCTGGCTACCAAGCGATGATGACATCTGGCGAACAGTTGTCTGCGCTCAGCCGAGATCACATTCCCATGGACTCCGACTAGGTGGTAGTAAACCTCACGAAGAGGCATAATATCTCTACCCGGGACGGGATGTTTATATACGGTGCGTACGGTTACAGAAGTTTCCACTAGTAATGTGCAGCAATCCTCCTGCACGCAGGTTGACAATATCTGTAGGGGCGGATTGTATGAAAGTAAAGATCTAATGCTCAAACAAATGGAGAAGAAGAAGGGAAAGAAAAGGGAACAAAACTGTTATGTAAAAGAAGGGACGGCGACTCGAACATTGCTTCCCAAACGCCAACAAACGGAAAGTTCTATAGGAAGATCACCTGCGTGCAAGCCTACGCTGTATTCCGATAACTCTCCATACTTAGAATACGCGTTCTCGCAGGCTCCTGCCGGATTGTGCCGGGATGCCAATATCCCCATATAACCATGACGCTCACCATCGGCACAGCATCAAACACGAAAAGCGGCCATTCGTTTGCCAAAAAAGTACCCCTTCTGCCCCGTCGCATACTCGATAACCCGGAAGATTGAGCGGATCATTATCAGCCAGCTAACCGCGTACAGCGGATACAGGTGATGAGTGTAAGGCACTTCACTTGTCGGCGCGCGCTTCATCCTCTTCTCAAAGACCATGGAAGTGATGATAAAGAACCCGAACACAAAGACCTGGATCATAAGTCCACAGATCACGATCGCCTTTGCTATATTCTCCAATCCGTCCGAAGCCATTAACCCTGAGCCTTGGCCCTGAACCAGAAACGAGACAATGTCACCCGCGACGAAAGTCTTCGTAACCCAGCTGATGCGGACTAAGGAGTACTTTTCAGCACCAACGCTGCGAATTAAACGTGCGAGAACCATGTAGACGCTTGCAGCAAAGAGAACGGGACCTAGTAGAATAAGGACGCTCTGGAGTATGTAGAGGATGAGGTTGGCAGTCGCGTTGGTGCAGGCGGCGCGGAAGGCATAGCCGATTACTTCAACTGCGCGAATTAGATGATTGTTCGGTCAAAAGACGGATTGAAAGTGGGCCAAGAAGATACGTACAGACACCACCAAGGATAAAGGGAATGCAGAATCGTGCGTGCGTTTTCCAGGCTTTCCACACATGGAAGAGGGTGGGAGCGAGGAAGAGGAGGAGGAAAATGACTGAGGCAGCTATAGAAGGGACATATTCCCAGAGATAGTAGTCGCCGCTGTAGGGCTCGAGTTTCGCCATGACAGCGGTGGTGATGATAGATTTTACTGTGAAGGGTGGAAGTTGTCTACATTGTGTGAGACTTGGTTTCCTCTATATAGTCCAGTTCAGTCCATCTAGCATCTAGACGACCTGAGGGCAGGTCTTCCCGAATAGGTAATGATAAAAGGGCTGGTCCGTGCACACGCGGACTTTTCTCGCTCCTATTCGCCGGCTCATCACCTTACGAAATCTGCACCCCACCGTGATAGAATCAGGCCCAAGGCTATTTTTACACACGAAACACATTTCGAACTGTTGAAGGCAAATGAGAAGAAGAAGCATTCGACCGAGCCCTGTCTCACACAATAGGCGCCAGCATATCGATTGATTGCTTAATAATAATAACCAACCTACCGGTCTGTTGCCACCCATACTGCCGCCAGCAAGACGCATACTCGAAATGGCTCGAAGAACCCATACGAAATCTCGAAACGGGTGTCTCGAGTGTAAGCGGCGCCATGTCAAGGTATGCACCTCGGTTTAAGTTCTAGCTGTGCCCGTCGGATGATAAACACTTTCCCCAGTGCGATGAGATGCAGCCCATTTGCTCTAATTGCACCACCGCCGGGCTGGTATGCGACTACGGGAGTCGCTTGCTGAGTGCCACCAGGCGGACCCCCCTACTGGGAGCTAGAGCTCAGTCACTGCCAACGACTCCTGCTCCTGGCGGTACCCCCCTGGAAAGCCCTGCAGGTTATCAACCCGTCAACATGCTCCATGTCGAACTGTTCCATAACTTGCACACGCAAATACGCACCGTCCTCGACCCAAATAGGTCTATAGCCTGGCTAGCGGATGATGTGGCTTACTTAGTTACGACGCCATATCTTGTTAACGAGTTGCTCGCATTCAGTGCACTGCACTTAAGTACTACACGGCCGGATCGGCGAGAATACTATCGCTATCATGCAGCCCAACTGCAAACCCAGGCATTATCTATCTTCAAAGAATCATCTCCTCAGGTAACACAAGAGACCTGCATCCCTTTGTTTGTCTTTGCCGTCAGCTTGGGTATCCACACACTCTGCGACACACTTATCTACCGCGAAGGTCATTTTGCTAATTTTCTCGATCGCTTCGTTCATTTTTTCCGCCTCTACTACGGCGTCCGCACTATAGTTGATGAATCATGGCACATGATCCAGGACACGCCTCTTGCCTCATCCTTCAATATAGGCACGGACCTGTACAGATTCAATGGTCACCTCGGGCCCGTCTGCCAGACCTTGCTGAGCCTGATTAACCGCGCGAATCTTGGTAAAGAACTCACAGATATCTATAGACAGGCGATTGAGTCACTACAGTCATGCCTAAAGGTGATAGAGGACCGGAGCGAGTTGCATGTCGGGATTAATGCTGTGACGACATGGCCGATCTTAATAAGGATAGAGTTTGCGGAGTTAATCGAGCAGAGACGGCCAGAGGCGATGGTCATTCTTGCACATTATGCGTGTACGTTGCATCTATTTAGGGATATCTGGCTTTTTGGGGATTCGGGGGCGTTTATCATTCGAGAGGTTACGGGATACTTAGGCCCGGAATGGGATGAGTGGATGGCGTGGCCGAATCAGATGTTGAGATCGTCACCATCTACCTAATGCAGGATTGAGACTCATAATCATTTCCAGACAACGGAGCTCCATTACTGTTTGATTAGCTCCAACTGGATATGAATTCCAGAGATTGGGCGATGTCAGAAGCCTGGTTAATAGATTGAGTATGGCTGGACGATGGGGTGGGATGTTGTTTGTCTCTTGTAGCCAGAAGGAGCTAGATGAGACTCTTGAACAGAGTTTGGGGAGAAGGCGAGCCTATTTTTTACTATTAATACCTCCGTCTGCCTTCGTATTTGTCAAGGACCAAATGCTGACGGCAATGCCCCGAGCAAGCACCGCGCTGGTGCCGGCTGTAGACCTCGTCTTGCCTGTAATCGAAGGAAGCTCCGAGAGATCCAATCGTCCAGGAAGAACATATCAGTTCCCAAACAACGCATACAACATCCACCTTCACAGGGAATCAAACTGGGCACAAGCTACGGGCACATACGAGGAAGTAATGGCCAGAGCGCGGGCCGGCGAAGAACTCCATATTCAGCCCGGAGAGCACGATTGTGTTTTCCAAAACAGTGCCCCAGATCGGACGGATGGTGACTTTGAAGTCGCATGGGTTGTGCTTGCTTTCTCTCTCGGTGGACGGGAGTTCGATGTAAAAGCTCAAATGGTGGCTGAGTGGGTATGACACCGATGAGGAACAGAAGAGGCTTTTTGAACGAGGATTTAGTCGCATCAAGAAAGCAACCGAGGTGTTTTCCCAGGGGATCAGAGAAACAACAATTCAATGCCCGTTTCAATCGCATCCGACATGCATTAGCAACTATCAAGAACAAGACACTGCCCCGGCAGGCTGGAGTCCAGATCGACCTCACGCCGCGCAAGTTCCGCATGGCAACCTGCACGGGAACTTTTCTTGAGCAGCCCATCCTATCACTTATTTTCCATGTGGTTGATAGCCAGGATTCAGACGTGATATACGAGACCTGCAGCAGGGTTGGCAGGGCCAGTGGGTAAATGCTAAACCGCAGTCTATTCCCCCCATTCCTGCAGGCCACACAGCCTCTATCTTGATTCACCAAGATATTCTCTACCGTAAGATTCTAGAGCCATCGATTCTCAAAGGGAATAATAAAGACTGGAAGCTAGAGGGACTCACTGGCTACGAGGGAGGTGGGGTGGGCTTTTCACGCCGCGTGGCAAAAGCCCTTAGACAGGTTACCTTCGACATACCATGTGGACGAGCGGTTGAAACAGCCTTGAATACTAGACAAGCCCATCTGGAGGTCACTGGCTGGAATGAGGATCTCAAGATATGCTCGTCGTACTACTCGTATTTGGATTAGAAAATCATAGGTTTGTGACTTACCAACTCGCAGATCATCCCAGCAACAATTAAGATCTACCAGAAAGCAAGTACCCCCTTTTCATTTTACTATCAGTGCAATACCACAGACACTAACATTCGTGACGTGCAATTAGTATATGAACAGCCCCCCCGTCGCCCGTGTCGAGTGGAAATTTCAAATCCAGTCAAAATGGCAGGATTTCTGGGTCGGCAAAAGACAACGGTTCGGCACTAGGACACGATTTCAGGGATGGTAGAAAAGCATCGAATGTAGGCAGGCAATCAATCTTACCTTGCTTTGCTCACTTTCTGACAACCAACTACAGAGCACCGTGACCTTCCCTATTAATCATGACTTTCCATTAGACACCAATGCTACGGACTACGACATTGCCTTTGACATAAAAAAGTAACGACATGGAAATTCAATGGAATAATACTGATGAATGGCATGAGATTGCAGGCGACTGGTTGGAAATGATTAACCCATGGGTATACAAAGATGGTAAAGGTCCCTTGAACGCGGTTTTCCAACGACGCCAGGAAAAGATGCGTGAGTTACGGCCCACCTTTCACTTCGGGACTCTGGGCTTGGGCTTCTTCCTCACTACTAACTTGCTCAACCCCGGTGTTTAAGGTCATTGAGATCGACAAGCAGGTTGGCATGCGGGTTCCCCTGGGAATCTGTTGTTAGTTGGCAAGGTAGTCCAGGCTGTAGATCCTACCAGTCCTTCCTGAGTCATATCGGAGACAGGTACATACATGGCTTTTATCGCGTACTTCAATCTTATATCTTACCCGGCCTCAGCCTGTTTTATACTAGAACCTTTCAACCTCCTCCCATGATGGCGTTCAGTATAGCTGCCAGTTCCTCCCCATCATGATAATCCTATATCTTATCTTATCTTATCCGGCCTGTACCAGTTTGTTTACTCAATAGGACAGAGGGCGGACGAACGAATGTTAGAGATAGTAAACGCAATTTCTCGATCAGAGCCGAGAAATTCCAAAGCTCCATATTGGCTTAATATAATCTGACTATGTTCCTCTACTTCTTCATTTACATCAAGTACATACGACCAAAGGGTGTGGAAAAGACAGGATCTTTCCGTCCGCTCAGCCGTACGTACTTGAAGTTCACAAGCCCTCTCTGCCCACCCACACGCTCACCCTTTTCTAGTTTTACCCTGATGGAGGGAACAGGTGAACAACCGCTCTTCGCTCGCGCGAGCCGGGGGTGAGAAGGGTGATTGCGTCTTGATACAGGGTCAAAAAAAGAAAAGAAAAAAACGAAGGTAAAGCACAGAGTATTCTGAAGTGTTCGGAAAGTACAGATGGAAGTAACAAAGCCCTCTTCAATAGTGTTGGGGGGGGGCCAAGAAAGTTGAAATCCTAGAACTTCACTATCTCGCACACTAGGTTAAGAGAATGTAGCTTCCTTGTATTTGGGGGGAGGTCGTGAGTAGATACCACTGACTTGCGATCTCATAAAACCTATATGTATACTGAGTCACTTCTACATATTTGTTAGAAGCTAATTGGTATACAAGTTAGTAGCTACTAGCTTAAGATCAGCGACGCAGCACTCGAGCACCATTGAACTAACTCGTAACGAATCCCTGCTTGAATATACTCGGGCTTTCTGCTTTCTGTGGATGTGTCAATCTGACACCCCATATTCAGTACTCTGTACATTACTTCAGATACCATTACGCCGCTATATATATACCGAATGACAGGTCTAATCAAACTAACCCAACAATGCATAAAAGGTAGTAATGAAAGTAATGACTCGAAATAATATATATATAGACATGTAAATAGTTGGTGCTCATGTACAAAATGCTCTCTCTCCTTTTCCGTAGAGCCAAGTAAAGTAGTAGTAGTAGTAGTCACACACAGTTCAGACCGGGGAGGAATATGTATATAGAGACAGGAAAAAAAAAAAAAAAAAAAAAGAGGAAATAACAAAAAGAGAAAGAGTGAGTGACGGAAATGATAGAATAAACAAATGTCTCGCTCAGGATACTTAAAAAACTAAGCATACAAATCCCAGATTGATGCTCGAATTTTGAATCCGACTGTATGATGAGAAGGAATACCGTGAAAGGGGAGAATGTAACCGCCCTAAACACCGCAACTCGCTGACAAGACGAGGAAGGAAGATAGAATGGAAAAAAATGAAAATGGTGGTAACGAGGGATGTATGGGATGCTGATGTCACCATACAATGTGGATATAGCTTGATGCTTTTGCCCGATTCTCTATGATGAGATTGGGCTGTTGCTTTTTGGTGGTTCGGCCTTACAGATCGCTGTGGAAGACTGCTTGGTCCGCTGCAGGCTGGGATCGCCGGTCGAGGAGGATCTTCTCAAGAGTATCGAGCCTTTCACGCGTAGTGCGAATAGCATGGTCCATCTCGAGGTCGGACATTTTTTCTTCGTTGACTTTGCTGGCCAGCGCACGTTCGCTCTGGACTTTGCGAGAGTATTGCTGTGTCCGAGAGCCCGTCGACCGACTAACGGTGGGTATGGCTAGTCCGTCCATCCCAACCCTGTCTTCTAGCCAGCTCCAGAGCTCGCTTTCTTCCCGCCGCCACATTTCCTCATACGCGGCCAGACGCTGGGGTAAAGAGTAACCAGGGCATCCGATGTCGTGGGATACCACGGATGGCTGGGACGGGCGTCGGAAGAAGAGCAAGAAGAGCAGAATGCCGACTAGTACAATGGCGACGTTTCCGCTCAAAAGAGGCTTGACCGTGTCCACAACAGGTCCAAGCACTCCATGGATCGGCTCCAAAACTCCCCAGGAATTCGCCTGCTGTGCTCGTTCCTCCTCCGCTGCTTTGGCAGCAGCAGCCGCCGCCTCCTGAGCGACCTCGCTCTTCTTGCGTCGTCCCTTACCCTTGCCTTTACCGCCACCCGTGCGGCCACGAGGAACAACCGCAGCTTTGAGGGCGGCAACCAAGTCATTTCCAAACGCAGTTTGACCGTCAATCGCACCCTTTTCAATGGGACCTGCTTTCTGTTAGCACAGCTGTAGTGGGTCATTTGACGCAGTAGACCTACCCTTGAGCCAACTCTTTCCCGACCACTCGATGGTACACGTCATGAGGAATCGTGTCTGATTGTTCGGCGCCCATGTGAAGAGGTACTTGGTCTTGGTCAGGAAGACATTACCGCTGGGGACGTCGGGTGTCTGGGTGCCCAGGGTAACAAGGACGGCCTTTTCCAAGTCAAGGAAATCCAGCGTTTCAGTACTGATACATTTTGTCTGCTTGGGACCAATGGATCCGTTCAGTGGCTTGATATACGAATAATTCCGTGTGCGGCTGTCGTTGGTGAGACCCTTGTTTCCAGTTTCAAATTGGAGCTCTCCCGATTTTTGATTTTCGACAAGGAACTTGGTCATGAACGCACCAGATTGCGCTCCGAACACGTAAGAGTAGACTTTTCCGAGAGGCGCTGGGATCACATCATCCTTGACCACCTTATCGTACTGGCCTGCAGGATCAGTATACTCGGTGGGAGGATGAGTTGGCGGGCCAGGGAAGTCAGTGTCACCATCAGCGGGTGAGCCAGACTTGCTGCCTTTTCCATCACCGCTGGAGTTGGCTCCGGCCTGCCCAGCCCCATTGGCATTGGCAAGAGCGCCCGATGCCTTGCGGCTAACAGGCTTGGTAGGCATGGACTTGTCACTCCCGTTGACGCTGGCGCCGGCAGCTTCGAAGAGGCTATCAGCATTGTCGCCTTCTTCATCCTCATCGTAGATCTCATCTTCTTCCTCGCTCTCATCATCACTATCACCGGCCTTCTCGGTCTTGTCTCCTGTGCCGTCCGTGACCCTGGTTCCATTGGCAGAACTCTTGAGAGAAGGGTGGTTGATTTTCCAGATGTTAACCATGAGATCATAGGTAGACTCTCGACTAAGAAGACTGCGGAACGTATGCCGAGCATGTAGCGTCTGGATAGCTATGGCGTTCGGGAACACCATCGCAGTGGACTCCTTTTCTATCGCCACGACTTCGTCAAAGCTAATTACAAGGGTCGTCACCCAGCCCAGAATATTACTGGAAAAGCAGATGTGGCCTTCCGAAATGTAGATTCGACCAGCTAGGATGATCTCTCGTTGCAAGGCACAGCTGTAGTCCTCGATCAGGTAATCGTCTTCGGGCACACTGCGGAACAGTTGATGAAAGTCCCTGTTTCGCTTCTTGCTGGCAACAGCAAAGCCAGTCAATCGCGGCATGCTGGCATTGGCAGCCGGGGCACCCAAAGCAATAGCACTGGCACCAATTGCACCAAGTGTCGATGTAGTTGCTGCTGAAGACCCACGGTGCCGGCGCCGGGCAAGCCGGCTTCGCACGCTTCCGCTTCGATAGGGCCGAGTATGACCGATCTCCCCATCGAGTATACTGCCACTTGGTGGAGTTTGGTCGCCAGCGCCCTCCTTCGTAAAAGAAGCACTGGACTGTAGGTCGAGGCCGTCATCTGTCGAAGGGACTAACGACGTCTCCGAGGGCTTTTCGTAGGCCATTGTGACTGCTCGGGCTGCACGACTATCCTCAAGTCTGGCTGCTTCTTCATCACGTTGCGATACTTTGCGCTTCTCCAAGGGTAAGTCTGGTTTGGTGATCACAACGCCATCCGGCGTGGAGACAGAACCACCGGGGGGTATGGCGATATCCAGATGGCTAAAGTCCAGGTCTCCAGATCCCAGAGTATCGACGGCCAATGGCTTTTTCTCTTCTGCTTTATTGTTGATGGGCTGGCTGGGGCCTGGCGCTCCCTCAGCAGAAGGCTGACTCTCAGATTCATTCAATCCTCCTTGCGCAACATTGCGACCCTTTGACTGAGAGTTGAGACTACTGCTCAAAGTCGAGGCTGCATTCTGTGCGGCGGAAAAGACGGATGAGAAGAACCCGGTTTGCATGGGCCCCGGTGATTTTGCGCTCGCTTTGGTCTCTTCAATCGTCGGTCCTATCGCAGATATGGAGTTCGACAGCTTGCTGGGCTTGTGGCTCGCAGCAGAGGCGGACCGCACACGCCGGTGGGAGATCATATTCCCCGAAGGGCTGACTATGATACCGGCTGGGGAATCTTTCGAGTGGATAGAATCAGGCGACCTAGTTACGTCTGGCGAAGTGAAAAGCCTAGGAAATTCGGTATTCGGGGTGGGAGGAGTTACGGTGGTCTGCGGGTGCGGAATGGCGGTATGCGGGGGTGTTCTCGGAGCGGGAATTTCTAGAGAAGGGAGAGGCTTGTCTTCTTTGAGATCGGTGCGAATGGGAGCTGGCAAAGGCGGGGGCGGTTCGGCAACAGTCTGAGCTCTCTTCGCTGATAAGCTGCCTCTTCTACTGCTTTTGGAGCTAGAAGTAGATTCTGCTCGATCGCGGTTAGAGGCTTTCTTATCCGGGTTGGAACCGAAGGCGTTCTTGAAGCGACGTCCGGGCGAGATGCCTCGTTTCTTCCCGCGGTCCGATGGCACGTTTAATGAAGAGCCATGCGTCTCCTGTTGCGACTCGGGAGCGGCAGCTTCAGCGTCGCCCTTACCATCTTCTTCCGTCTCGTCTACCGATGTGGTCCTTATAAGGGGGGAGGAGGAGGTGTAAAAGCCAGCATGGGAGTTGTGAGATGTAAGAGGGGGTGTTCTTTGGGTCAATCCACGTTAGTCATGCTATTTGACTCGCTGATGGCGTGCCAATGGAATGGGAACACATGAACTCAGAACTCACCTGTCAGGTTCGGAGTCGTCCGTCAGCAAGTTGACAGTGTCATGGTCCGGGGGGCTCAAGTTCTCGTGGCCCACTGATGAGGTGGTGGAAAGGCCGTCGCGCGACTCTGTTGAACGACTCTCCTGGACATCCTTGCTACTCTCTGTCTCCAGCTGGGTGGACGATTCATCGGACTGCTTCTGGTTCTTATCCTTCTTCTTCTTCCGTCGAGCGGCCAAAAGCTTCGAAAATCCGCTGGAGCCTGCCTTGGCGGAATCAGCCTCGCCGGCTTGCGACTTGGGTCTGTCGGAGGTCGAGTCGATTGAGGAGCGCCCATTGCTTCGGGACGAACTTCCCATTGTCTCCAGATCAACCGGAGTGGTATTGGTACGATTCACTTTGCTGATGCTGGGTATATCGGTTTCTGGAACCGGCGGGGGTTCGGGGATCGGGTTGGCCTCCATGGTGGATGAGCGAATGGAGGAGCGGGGGATGAGGGGAGGACGGGTAGAGGCAGAAACGAAAGTGAATGAACAATTGATTTAGAGTTCAAGGGGATATTGGATAGTAACGGCAGTGCGCATGCTAGAGGTCAGAACCGGTCGACGTCTCTAGCAATGCATTGTATGTAGAAAGTAAGGTAACGTCAGCAGAAAAGGAGGGTCGTAGAGGGGAAAGATGGGTCTAACTGCGTCTAGATGGTCGCAGAGCCCGCAGCATGTCCTTCCTCTCACTTCCCTACTGCTGAAGAATTTAGGGAAAAAGATAAGTTAGGGAAAAAGAAAATGGGGGGTGGGGGGGGGGAGGAAGGGGTAAAGATGACGATGAGGAGAAGGAAAGCGAAACGAAGGCGCTTCGAAGTGCAACTCCGCAAAGCTGCCAGACCATCGACGGTGAACGGAGCATTACCGCCGGTGACCTCTTCCGCTCGTATTTCTCCGCTGGGGGGAGGTATATCTACAAGGTGGATTTCCGATCGGCAGGGATACGATTACGATAAGAGGTTCTTCTGTAGCTGTAACTTCATATACTCTGTCGTCTTTCCCCTGGAATTGCTTTCTAGATCTCTAATAATTAATATATCTTAATCGCGATGGTGAAACTTGCCAGTGCTGCAGCTGGTTAATTATAGAACTGCGGCGGTGCCGGAGCTGTCACAGTGTATGCGCCAGCGTATTACGGTCACAACCATACCACGATCCGGAATCAGGGGGTTGCAGCGGTAACAGTGCGGTAGATGCTGGTAGTGGATAGTAGGGGAGAGTACTTATTGGTACTTGCGGGACTGGTTCCATGGGTGGTAATGTTACCGTCCCATTGGTACCACCGCGTGATCTGCCCGAAGCGGTGAGGGGATGTCGTCACCAGCGATAGTCCTTCGTCGGCCCTTATCTGAATGTCTTAAATCGTTCTTCTCCGATCATATTCAACTCACATTCACTCGCTTTGGGGGGTGGCTTGTGGTAGTCCACTCCGGAAATTTACTTCTCTTTTGAGACCTCCACAGCTATGGAGACTGCTCCCCTGACCTTGGTAAGTTCTTCTTGCGCGGCCTCAAGCGTTGTATCCCGCCTGACAGACCCCTTCGGACAAGGCTCATACCCACGCTCGCAATGCAGTTCTCGAGACTCGCAAGTCGAACCCCGTAGCAGCCAGTGAGGAACATGATCTTGCTGCGGGAGAATTTGCCACTGCAGCCCAGAATAGCTCGGATAAAGAGGTACCTATATGACGCATCGCTGCATCTACACTTACACGAGAACGCTGGCTCATCCTCGACTGCACAGGCTCTGCGGACCCTCCACCTGCTAGAACAACATCACAAAAAACTGGCACAGATCCTCCGTTTTCAACATGAGAATCCCCAAAGCAATGCAGGCCCCGGCGCAGCTGCCCAGCTGTCTACAGAATCGGGGGCGAGATCATCCACCTCCACTGATCCCCAGCATATCCCGCGGCTATCTGGACACCCTCGTCTACCGTCGAGAGAGTCATCCTCCATCGCCAGCAACCTAGCATCCGCACGAGGAATCCCCGCGCACCGTGCCTCTCCGGCATCGCCCACAATCGCTCCTCAGCAAGCCGGGGCCAAGATGACCGACGGCCCAAGCAAGATCCGAACAAGCGAGTCCCGACTACGAGGCACCGCACAGATGCAAGGGATGAGGGAGCGTGAGCGCGAGCGCGAGCGCCACCGCACATCAACTTCCGCTCGACAACCCTGGATCCCGCCAACACCCAGCCCAACGGACGTCACTTCACAGCAGTACGCACCAGCGGAGCCCTCAGAGCCATCCCGCCCACGAGCCTCCCTCACCGAGGAACCCTTCCAAAAGTTCTACTCGACCTTTGAAGGCCTTATCTCCAAGATCTCCGCGCCACTAGCCTTCGCCGGCCTCCCCCTAGGCACTGATCCATCCTCGCAACCCTCCGCCAGCCGCAAATCCGCCCCGGACACCAAAACCGACCGCTACAACGCCGTCCCCGACCGCTCCGCCGAACCAGACATCAACAAGCTCTTCTCCCGCGCCGCCCTCCAAGCCATCAAAGACAACACCGGCGGCGCAAGCGGCGGAACCGGCAGCACCGCCGAATCCTTCTACGTGGTCCCCACCACCGGCGGCACCGTCTCCTACGCAGGGATCCTGACACGGGCCGAAAAAGAAGCCCGAAGAAGCAGCTTCGAAGACGCCGCCGACGAAGACTTCGTCGACGCCCGCGAGACCCCTCCATCCCCGGAACTCCGCCAAAGTCTTTCCGGCGCAGCAGCAGCACCGATGGGCAGCAAAGCGTCCCGCACCCCCACTAGTCAGAGCGAGAAATTCTCCCGACTCACCCAGAACCCGAAAACCATGGAAGAGCTACAAATGGAGAACCAAGCCCTTCGGCATCTATCAGATACTCTATCCAAGCGGCTACACATGTGGGAAGTCAACGCCCAATCCAGCTCCATGGCGCTGCAACAATCCCTACGAGCAATGCACCATACTCAGAATGTCCCGTCTCTGGACCAGCCTCAGTCTCATAACCAATCGCAAGTTCCTTCTCCGGTTGCAACTACCGGTGGCGGCAGCGCCGGGATCTCATCTCCCCCTGTCCCAACAATAGACTACGACCAGCGCATCAAGGAACTAGAGGAAATGGTCCGTCGCGGCGAGAAAGAACTGGGTAAAGTCGGCCGCGAGAACGACAAGCTCCGCGATGTGCTGGGGAGGTACAGAGAGCGATGGGAGAAGTTAAAAGAGGGAGCGAAATCGAGACGGGCCGGTGCAGCTGGTGCTGCCACTACGTCCGCAGGTGGCAGTAGTGCTACTGCTCGACCAGGTAGCAGTAGCAGACGATCGAGCACGCAGCAGGGAGTAGCGGATACAGAGGACGGGTCATCGAAAGCGGGAGGCGGGGAGACAACCACGACAACGGAGAATGCAGACACTTCGAATGGTGAGCGGGAGGGGTCTGATTAATTATCTTGCCCTATCTTTACGACTATTCTTATTCTTGGGTTGAATATCTCTATATGAAGTACTTATATACTATGTCCTGTCATTATTAGCCATAAAAGCAAGCACACGAAGTGAAATGATGAACTGAATTTTATATATCCACCACAAACATATCATCCACTGCCTATCACTACCACCACCTAAATAATAGTACTAAACAACCCAAAACGCCGCCCTCCCCCTAATATCCACGGAACTACTCCCAACCAACACCCCAAACTCGCCCTTCTCAACCACATACTCCATCTTCCTATCCCACAGCCCCAAATCCTCCACCTTAATCTCAACCTCCACCTCCACACTTCCCCCCGCCGGAACAACCACCTTCTCAAACCCCTTCAGCAACCGATTCGGCACCACAACCGACGCAATCTCATCAACCACATAAACCTGCACGACCTCCGTGGCCTCCCTCTTCTCATCCAAATTCCTCACCTCAACACTAACAACCACCGTCTCACTAGCCGACACATTCGTCTTACTCAACCTAACATCCCCATACTCAAACGCCGAATAACTCTTCCCATACCCAAACGGGTACACAGCATGCGGATCGCCCAGGACATACTGGTGTCCGAAATCCAGGGTTCCATTGGGGTAAGCGTGTCCGGCGTCGCCGATGTTGCGGGCTGAGTTCAGGTAGTCGTAGTAGATGGGCAGGTCGCCGACGTAGTGGGGGAAACTGACGGAGAGTTTTCCCGAGGGGTTGTAGTCCCCGAAGAGGACGTCTGCGAGGGCGTTGCCGCCTTGTTCGGACGGGTAGAATTGTTGGAGTAGGGCCGAGGTGCTGTTTGCGATCCAGGTTACGTCTGTGATGGGCTTGCCGCTGGAGAGGACTACGATGGTTGGGATCCCGGTGTCCCGGATTGCTTGGATTAGGGGGCCTTGGGCGCCGACGAGGGCGAGGGAGTCGAGGTCGACGTGTTCGCCGGTGCTGTTTGGAGTTGGTTAGTGGGAGGTGGTATGGGGGACAGCGTTGGGGGACGTACGTTGCGTTGTAGTTCTCCCATAGTTCGGTCTGGTCGCGAGACCAGGTGCCTACGACGACGATGGCCACGTCGGATTTCTTGGCTGCTGCGATGGCTTCGTCGAAGCCTGACTCGTCGTTGCTCCACCGTTCGCAGCCTTGCGCGTAGTTGACTGTGGCGGCGTCGCCGACGGCGGCTTTGATGCCGTCGAGAGGGGTGACGCCGTGCCATTGGCTGCCGTAGATCACGTAGTCGCCGTACTGGGTGAGTTAGCTGTGAGCTTTCTGGTAGTTGCAGCGGGGATAGTCTCACGTTCATGAATCCGTGTGCCATAGGCCCGATGACGGCGATGCTACCACTCTTCTTCAGGGGGAGGGTCTCGTTGTGGTTCTCGAGCAGGACGATGGACTCCTTGTCGATGGTTCTCGCGAGCTCGACTGCCTCCGGGCTGTGGATCAGCTTGTTCCATTCGGATTGAGGAGCGGCTGGGTAGGGGTTCTCGAAGAGGCCCATTTCGAACTTGGATCTGAGAACTCTGGAGACGGCGGTGTTGACGACCTCGATGTCCAATTGGCCGGACTCGACGAGCTCGGGGATCTTCTGGTAGTTGCTATGATGTGTTAGCTGGGTTGCTTACGCCGGATGATTGGGGTACTCACAATGAACCTCCGCCCATTTCGACGTCGTTGCCCGCGGGCAGGGCCTGGGTGGTCACGGCCTCCATATCGATGGGGGAGCTTCTGCAGAGCTTGAAGGCTGTGCACAGTCTGTCTGTGGCACCGGAATCGCTGATGACATAGTAGTCGTAGTTCCATTCTTGTCGGAGGATCTTGGTGAGAGTGAACCAGTCGGCCACTGCGGGGATACCGTCATATCTAGAACCTGTGAGTTGATGGCCGACTGTCGATGATTGTGGTGACTTACGCGTGGTAGGCGCTCATGATACTCCATGCACCAGCATCCACAATGGCTCTCTTGAAGGACGGCAGCCAGCTAGACTGTGTTAGGTGCTTGTTCTTCAGAAGGTAAAATGCACATACGTTGAGCGCAGATATCTCTCTCCTCCTTGGACAGGCGCAGTGTTCAGACCCTGTTCAGGCAAACTGTATCCCACGAAGTGCTTGACAGTGGCGGAAACGTTCAAGCTCTGCAGTCCTACGATATAGTGGTAGGCCATTTCACCAGCAAGGTAAGAGTCCTCTGAGAACGTCTCCTCAACCTGTGATCGACTATTGTCAGCCAGTCATTATCGCTGGAGTATTGCAGTTCTTACCCGACCGTATCGGAGTTCGCGAGCCAGATCGGCCAGCGGCGCAAACAGTTGGGTGGTACCAATAGCACGAGCCTCTTGCGCAATGAGTCGTCCCATTTTCTCAACCAACTATTTACAGGGTCAGTCTCAGTGGCAGGTGGCATATAGCAGCAAGCATACCTTTCTGTTGAAAGAACAGGCGTATCCTATCGGGGAGTTGTAGATAGTCGCATTCTCGAGCAGGAAGCCATGAATACCTGTAGACAGCAACCACTGGAATCAGCATCGACATCAGCATGATAAGGAGGTAGACATACCCTCAGTCTGAACAAGAGCAGGGATCCCAAGCGTCGTGTTTTGCAGCAGATAGTCTTGGGCTCTCTTGATGTTGGTCGCAAGCCAGTCCCAGGGAACAGCATATCCAACTACCAACGTTAGTTGCCTGTCTGCAAATATTCAGAGAAAATGCATACTGTAAAATGCACCAGCCTTCATCTCCATGTTCTCCACCAAGCCGGTGTAGTTAAAAGCCCCAGTTGTGCTGTTCATCCAGTTGCCGATGTCACCTATACCAAGCATTAGCCACTGCAGTGAACGCAACCATCCGAACAAAACGATCAATTGATGTCACAGTCATTAGTCTGCTCCTAGAGAAAGGAAATACACACCCTGCATCAATTGACCCATCTTATCTTCAATGGTCATGCGACTGAGAAGATCAGAGACTCGCGCCTCCACAGGCGCATGGGGATTCTTGTACAGAGGTCTGGAGGCATTCTGCACAGCCAGAGCCCCAGACCCAAGCTGAAGGAGCAAAAGCGCCTTTGCGAAAAGACCGGCCACCATGATGGCTAAGTGAAGAGCCAATGATCTGCTCTTCCAGCTCCTTGGGTACGAGCGAGCTTATGCAGGTAGACAAGCAGGCAGATATTGGGGAAAATACAGAAGAGGAAGCTCAAGGGGGAGATCCCCCTCGGTATTTAACATCACGCAGCCAGCATATGATGTCTAGTGTGCAGACGAAGCGGAGCTCCAGAGAACCAGAAATTAAAAACAAGAAAAGGAAAAAAGGAATTGAGCAAGCAGACTAAGGATGCCATCGGCAGCGACGGACAAGGAATCCGTTTAATTTAGGCTGTGCTCATGCGATCCATTCGGAGATGAGGCCAGTACCCATGGGGGCTGGTAGTGTTGGGGAGCGTGGAGAAGCAGCAACGAATGAGGAAGCATGATGCATGAGTCGGAAGCTGAAGGCGAGCCAGCTGACTGGATATCGGTCGAGTGCCACGATACGTTTAGATTGACAGTCGATGGAGTAATTTCCCAGGATGGGAGGTGTACTCCAGTAGGAGCACGGGTAAATTCAGGACGATGGCAAGAAGGAGAGGGGTAAGCAATCTTGGGAAATGACTCGGAGATGATCCATGCAGTAGACTAACAGCTGCTAGTTAGCCCTAGTTGGGCCAGGGTGCAGGGGATTCGGTGCGGACTTGCCGGCGGCTTGCTGCTCTTTCTCCACCTATCGTCGTCTTTCCTCGGACCAGCAGGCCTGCAAAGTGCAAAGTGCAAGGATGGAACTGAACTAAGGCCCGTCCCGATATTGATGGAATGCCCGCGGGGTGGGCCAGCTGAAGAAAGTCTTGGATATGGGTTCCACCTTTTGGACACTAGCAAGTCTAACACATTAAATATTGCCACTGGCCTCGAGCTACCGGAAATACAACACACATTCGCTTCTCAAATTCTATTAAACGGCTATATAGTCGAAGAATGCTAATGCTCGCAGTGGTATGAGACAGCCTCCACCCGTGAATTATCTATAGGAAAATAAACGTATGTACTAACATTCGGTGTGAGCCAGTCACCAACAAGAGCTCAAATTACGCCCGCGTACCTGCGCCGGTACTCTGCCCATCTTGGTTCCCCTGCGACTCGGCACCGTCTTCACCTTCATTCTCTCGGATGCTCGTCGTAGCCTCCGATCCTCTGTTCGCCCCCGGTTTGTGGAGAACGCCACCCAACCAGGCAAGACCACCGCTCCACGAGTCGCTTAGGCTGCGAAGCCGCGAGAGGGAGGTGGTGTTGTCTTCATGCTGGTTGATGGGGCCGTCCTCCGAATCAACAGCAGGTGTGAGATCCCCAGTGCTTACTGGAGCAGTAGCAAGGGCACCAGTCCCTGGAAGTCGACTGCTGGAAAGCGGGAACCCAAGGCTGTGAGCGTTCTCAACATCGCCATCCACCTCGTACTCGCCGCCTCTTGCGTCTCCGTTACGCTGCCGAGTAAATCCTTCCAAGACTGTCGTGCTCAACTGTTTTCTCCGGTCCATCCGGTGGTGTAGTCTTCGTCCTTTATTGGGACTAATCTCGCCGCGGCGTAGTGTCTCCGCTACTACCGCACTAAAGCCAGCCGAGATGGTCGGCAGAAGAGGTCCAGGTGAGAATTTTGAGATGGAGTTGCGTAAATGCCGAGCGGGCGGCGTCTGCGGGACAATCGCTTTCCGAACGTTCGACTGAGTCCGTCCATGTGCCGAAGTTGGGCCTGCCGACTCATCCTCAGCGCCAGGAGCAGGGGGAAACCGAAGGAGAAAGGGTGAATCGTGTGCTGTAAGCTCCGATTGCGCCGGGGGTGTAGAAGGGCGATGGATCGGTGGTTCAGTATTGGGGGTTTGGATGGCCGACTCTAGAGAGTCTGCCCATGGGTTCGTCAAAAGCGAACGAGCATGCATAGGCGAGGAAGGCTCCGAAGAAGGTTCTTCAAGCAACTCAGCGGTCAGCGAGCCGCGTGGGGAAGATGGCGCAGCCGATAAGACGCCCCGAGGCGTCCGCTGGTCGTCATCCACGTCTTCGATGCCCTGACTAAGGAGGGACCCCGAAGGAGACTGAAGATGATCACCTGCCGGGGTACGAGCTTTTCGTCCTGCCTTATGCGCCCGGGCTTGTGGAGCAGGGGGAGATAGATCGACCCTATCTTGGTAACGGTCGGCGCCCAACAAGCCGATAGCCTCCTCTTCATCGTCGATGGAGAAGGTAGACTCGTTGTCTGCGCGTACACGGCCGCTGGTAATACAGTAGACCCCCATAAACGTTAAGACACAACCACCCACGAATTTGCATGCACGCTCAGCTGTGTAGGACTCGAAGTCTCGATACAGTACAGCGCTCCCGATGATGACGGAGAGAGTGAAAAGTACAAACTGTGTTGGGATGACTTGAGTCGAATCGAACCGTTGCAGAGCTCGGTTGATGTACCGAATCTGCATAAGGGCACTGAAAACAAGGACGAAGACTAGAAGATAGGTGACTGGGAATGTAATGACGTGCCAAAGTGTGAAAGATAGCAGCGATGAGACACCTTTAGTCGACAAAGCAGTATATCCACCTAGTCAAACAGTAAGCAACGATCCACCTGTAAATCATTTAACGGGCCATGTGTACGTACCAAATAACGCCACCAAGCCGACATCGATCAGGATTGATCGCGATCCATACTTGCCGCTTGCCCACATGAGCCCGACAATAAGTGCAGCGGAAACGCCCAGGTACAACTCGAACTCCCAGCGCGTAATCATCTCCCAAATATCATGGGGACCAATCTTCTCTTCCGACGACTTTGCACTGAGGACAACCACCACCGCTCCTGCGATCGCAATAAGAACTCCCCACAAGTCACGCTGTCTGAATTTCTCCTTCAGCATGAATGGCGCAATAACGCAGTTGGAGATGAGGGCAACAACGCCGAGCGGTGACACAATGGACGCCGGAGCAAATCCATAGGCCATAAAATTCCCGACCTCGCCAAGTGACATGAGCACAATTCCCACCCACCAGTACGGCGACCGAAGATACGATTTGCGGCGCACACGCTCACTCCCCGACCGCGCAGTCCGGTCGGATATCATGGAGTCCTGCATATGATCCTGTGAGTCTGTCTCGTCGTCCCTGTAACGGCGGGTTCGTCCGGAATGGCCGCGGGGTTCTTCATAATGATCGGGTTCAGACGTAGGAGATTCATCCCGGTAACGACCCGGTCGAGACGCACGATGTCTTCCTCGACTTGCGTCGCCGTCGAAGTCGTCGTCATCGATAGATCCATATGCGCCGGAGCTGCCGTGTCCATGGTTCGCACGCTTCCAATCCAACTCATGTCTCAACTTGTCCTGCTCCCACTCCTTATCGATACGGATGTGAGCATAGCGCTGGATGTTGAGCGCCAGGGAAATCAACACATTGCCCACCAGCGCAGTCACGATTCCAATCAAGGAAGACCATTCGTGCATTCCTCCGCCACTTCCACCATCGCCATTGTCAGACCCGGGACTGGACGTGAACGTCGGAGAAGGCTGGGACGAGGAGGGGAAGTAGTGATACGGTGTGGGTGTCGGCGTAGGAACAGCGGAGGAGGCGAGCGCGGTGAGCAGGCCTGCTGCCAGGGGCACCTCTTGCAAGTAAGCCATCCGCAATAGGAGGTTGGCTCAAGGGTATGCCGGGCGCAGGTAGGCCTGATTAAAAGGCGAGCGCGGGAGTGAAAAGGAGGTCCCGACTGATCCGCCGCTATAAGGTTGTAGGATGCGGAAAGCCTCCGATGTCGACAAACCGGCAAGAAAACTGGCGGCCGACTGACTGTAACGTAGGGGAGGCTTCCGGTAGTCGTCACAGCATATATTCCTTCAGATTGTTGGCATCAGCTTCTAGGGGGGCAGGGGTTCATGCTGCTGTGAGCCACGACATTCTGTATCCCCTAAGTGATAAAATCCAAGCTCGGGAGTCTTCGTTCACCAGCGACAAAGAAGAGACTCCAAAAGGCACCACAAGCAGTAAGATGAGTACAGACGCTCGTCATTCGCGAGCGAGGTCCGACAGTGGTTAAGTGCACGGATGTAGAGAATAAGATGGGGGGGAGGAGGGATGGGGGGATTCTGGGAGAGAGAGAGAGAGATGCCGAGAGAACCGGCGAGAGAGACTAGTCGCAGTCCCTAAACTCGGGCCTAAAATCCTTGGATACGACCAGTTTCGCACGTGCGAGCCTGCTCAAGTTGGGAGAGTGGGAATTACCACGTATAAGCGCAGCATCGCGTGAGGTTTGCTGGGCAATCAAAGCCGGACAGGCTGCAGTAGTAGTAGATTATCGAGGAGCCCGCCGCAGTCGTGGAATCATTGGCTTGCTCGCCTCCTCCAGATCAACGTCGAATGGACGATCCGGAGAATGGACGACTTGCACATCCTGGCCCACCCACCAGCCCCTTCAACGTCATCGAGCAGGCTGTCCATGCCGCAAGTACTTTCTAGTATTCTACACAGCGGAGTACACTTACTCATTATGCATGATTATGTCTACCGTTTCACAAGATTTACTGCCATAGGGTATCTCTGTTGTTTGTTTAACTCCGTTTAGTGGGCGGATGATTATTAACACACTTTATCTGCCACCAAAGTTCATCACGCTCAACGCCGCCCTTGCTCCAAAAGTATACTGTGTACATGTCCTGAATCGTGGCGTAGAAGGAATGGAACCAATGTTTATTATTTCCGATCGGTCGCAACACCTCACCGCTTTGCCCGCTTCTTATCCGGCCCCTGCTCGTTTTCATCATCACTAATATCCCGGTAGATCGGCGTGGGCTGCGTCTCCTTCCACGCCTTGGTGAAGATCGGGTCCTTCTCGGCCTTGTCCGCATACTTAAGCAGAGCTTCCCGGGGATCCTCATCACGCATCGAACTAAGAGGAATGTTCTCGCGGATATGCTTCTCATCCGGTTGCGATTTCGCAAAAGGTGTTTGTGCTGGTAGATGAGGTCTCCGTGGATCTCTTGGACGGCCTGACGCCGTGAGTCCGATGGTCGGGTGCC